AAGGCTCTTTTTTCTGATCTAATCATTTCAATTTTAGATGAAATTGAAACTTCCAATTCTTTTAATTGATTAAGATCGGTTTCAATTTTGTGTTTTTCATTGGCTAGTGATTTTAATTCCATTTCTAAATTTTCCTTTTCAGATAAATCCATAGGTAAGAAAACACGTGCTGGATTTACATCAACAACTCTTGTAGATTTTGATCTATCATATGTTGATGTTTTCATTAAATATTGTTGATTTGGAATAAATGCACATTGAATTGGACTTTTCATTAATAAATCTGAAACTTTAGCATTTGGATTTTCTGAAACTGCAACTGTATCCATTTGAGTTAAATCTTTGATACATGATTTAACAGCATCAGGTGCTGTATATTGTTCATCTAAATATGATATAAAACCATATTGTTTCAATTGATCTGTTGGATAAACTCTTGTTGGATGATATTCTAAATTATCTGGTAAAATTATTGATAATCTTAATTCATTTTCTGTTGCATATTTTTGTAGCCTTTCTCTATCTTCTATACATTGTGTTACAAATGAACGAAAAACATATTGAGGACAATGCATTTCAATAAATGAACCAAATAAAGGTGTTGTTGGTGCAATTTCAAGTGGAATACAATAAATTGGTTTTAAAAATTGACTTCTATTTTGCATATACCATTCATAAACTCTAACAACTTGTTCTAATCTATTTTCTCTGAGTCTTCTTAAACGTTGTTCTTTTACATTGTCTAATTTATGAATTTTACGTTTACATTCTTCCATTTCTTCCTTCTTGGATTTGAATGATTCATTCAATTCATATTTTCTATCCATAATTTTACGATATTCTTCATCTTGATCACGTGCTTCATTATTCTTCTCTTGAATTTTCCCTTTAATTTCTGGAATGTTATATTTTGATAAATGTGTTTCAAGTTGTTTGATTTGTTGATCTAATTTTTGAATTTTAGATTGTTTAGCATGTTCACTTTGTTTTGCTTTTTCAATTTCTATTGAATATTTTTCAATATTATTATTGGATGTTGCAAATTTTTGAATGACATTGGAAATTTTTTCCTTATTAGTATTAATACGATTTCTATCAGTTCTCATATCAGAATCTGTTTTTTTAATGGATCTATCCAATTCTTCCATAACATCTCTAAGTGGACCAACTTCTTGTTGTTGACTTGCAACTTCTTGAGCTAATTTAGATTCCATTTCCTTCAATTGTTTTCCTCTTTCTTGAATATTCTTAAATTGAAGTACAGGCATTTTGATTTTACAAAGTTCTGCTTCATCAAGATATTTCTTTCTTTGATTATATTTTTCAACTTCCTTTTCCAATGTAGCATTCTTCTTTTTAAGACCTTCCAATTGTTTTGTTAATGTATCTAATTGATTACTACTAAGTTTAAATTCATCTTGTCTCTTAATTAAATCTTGTTGATGTTGAATAATTTCAGGTGATAAAACTGCTAATTGAGTTTGTTCAAGTCTTTGTGTAGAATCCAAGGCTGCAAATTCACAAACTTTTTCTTGAGGTAAAAATTGAGTCAAATTGTCCAATTGAATATTAAATCCTTCAATTATATTTCTAACTTCTTCTCCTGTTTTTTTAGTACCATTCACTCTCCAATCTGTTGACTCCTTATTGTCCTTGTTGAGATGAAAACTTCTTTTAATAACAACATTTTTCTTTGCTGCTTTTAATTCAATTTCAACAAAGGCTTCAGATTTGCCATGTTTAATCATATCTGATACTCTACTAGCTCTTCCAAGTAATTTAGTGTGACCAGCTAATCCAACACAAATAGCTCCAACAATTGAACTTTTACCTGTTGATTATTTGACAATAATATAAGTGTTAATTTGATGAAATTGTTAATTGATGATTTGATTAAACTATTCAATATTATTATTAGTTGAAACTCACCTGTACCATTAGGACCTAAAACCAAGTTCAAACCAGGCCCAGGGAAGAATTCACAATCATCATAAGTCATGAAATTATGTATTTTGATTCTAACAATACTACCATCTCTCATCTTGGGTAATTGATAACCACAAATTGAATTTGGTTTTGTTTTTTTAGTTCCATTTGCTGTTAATGGTTGTGATGCTAATTCTTCATGATCCGATTCTTCTTCATCTGATGACACATCGTCCTTTCTCTTCCGTTTGTTGTTGTTATTGTTGCTCTGAGAGGACGACGAAGAAGGCTTCTTTCGTGCAGGCATTTTTTTTTAACGTTTCAAAGACAAGCCTTTTAGTTTTGCATCCACTACTTGATGGAAGTGATTTTTGGCGCCAAACAAATTTATTGGTAAGTGAAATCAAAATAATTATATTCAATCTCAATAGAACACACTGGTTCAATGTTGATTCAAATAAATTTATTTCTCAATTTTACAGCTCAGACAATCTGTGGTTGACTAGTACCTCTCTATCTGATGGATAACAAATAGAAAGCTCAGATTCTATGTGACATTCATCAATTAAAAATAAAATTACAATAATAATTATTTAATTAATTGATTATTGCACTTTTAACAGATTCTATGATAATTATCATTAGAAACCTATCTGATAAGTCAATGAACATTTTCAAATAGAAGGTCGAGTTGATAACAACACCACTCGTTGAAGTTTTCAACAACGAAAAAAAATTAAAAGTTTTATTGTTGTGCGATAAAAGAGCGATACGTCATCATCATTATCTGCTGACAACAAGTGATCATTATCATCTTGATTATTATCCTTGTCATCATTTGTTTCTATACTCTTCGCACTCTCTTGTTTTAATTATTACTGTTGTACTGTTATTATATTCTACTACTACTAGTACTATTATTCTATTATTATTAAATATTATTAAATATTACTACTATTTAAGATGAATAAAGTATATAATATTAAAGAATATATAGCATCATTTCAATTACAAATACTTTTAGAATTAGTTGAAAGTATTAGTAAATTAGAAAATTTAAATGACAAGACACCTTCACAAATACAATGTATTGAAAAGAAATTAACTTTTATTAAACATAAATGTCCTATTCTACCTACTACTACTATTATTAGATCTAATATTAATAATAATAATACTACTAATAATAATAATAATAATAATAATAATGGAGGAGGTAACAATGTTGAACAACAACAACAACAACAACATCATTCTAAAGGATTTAAACAAGTTATTATTCATAAAGAAAATGAAGATCATGATTTAATTACAGATTTTGATGATTATAATAAGAAACATTCATTATTATCATTAACTGAAGAAGGACAAGAATCAGCACTTGCATTAGCCTACTTTTTAACTAGATGTAAATCATCTTCATCATCTTTACAATATTGTGAACAAATATTACCATTATTAATTGGTATTGTTAATCATTTACCACATTGTAAATGGAATCAAAAAACTAAAATTACAGGTGAATATTTCTCTTATCATTTAATTTCTTTATTGAGAGATATTTCTTATTCACACGTTGAATATTCACAACAAATTACAAATTCTCTAATTAATATTTGTTTAAATGAATGTTATTTAATTATGAAATCATATGAATCTAAATGTAAGTTTTTATATTTTTACAATAACAATAATAATAATAATAACAATATTCATCTATTTATTCATTTATTTAACATAACAATAATAACAATATAACAACATAACATCATAATAACATTCATCTATATATATATTAAATATAAATATAATAATAGTTATATTTGATAGTGATAATACAGCACGTGTATTATATGGAGTATTTAAAGGATTATCAGAAGGATTACCTTCTCAAATGAGTAATGAACAATATAAAATAGTGAATGAAATTGTTCAATATTTTATTAATATAACAACATTTAAACAATCTAATGAAATTAAACAATTAAAAGCATTTAAATCAAGATTATTAAAAAGTATGATTGTATTAGTATTAAAAATATGTGATCATATTGTTTTATCAAATAAATTAGAAAATGAAGAATTGAACAAGTTATTATTAATTTCATTTAGAAATTTATCATTAGATTATTATAAAAGAATTATAACATTTAAACAACAAGAACATGATATTGATTTAAATATAGATACTAATTATAGTGTTAATGCATTTTGTACATCATGTCAATTGGCATTAAATTGTTCATTAAAATTATCAAATCATTATTATCACCATCATAATACTAATAATAATAATCAACATGGTAATAATAATCAACATCATAATAATAATTCTAATAATAATAATCAATCTATTATATTAACAACAACAACAACTGAACAAAAAGAAGTTTTAAAAATATTTATTGAATGTTTAGAATTTTCTAAAAATAATGATTGTGGATATAATAAATTTGAAGAGAAAATGATAAAAGAAATGATAAATTGTATTGAAAAGATTTGTAAAATTGAAAATTCAGAATATATTTCATTAAGTGTTAAAACATTACGTGAATTTATTGAAGAATCTAATGAAAAATCTGAACATTTAATTGAATATATTACAAAATGTATTTCAAATATATTAATTTATGATTTTAATAAGAGAGGTATTTTAAATACATCAAGTGCAGTATTTGCAATTTCTAATAATATTTATTTAAATCCAGATGATTCTATTAAAAATAATAGAAGAGTTACTTTATTAGGTAATATTGCAACTGAAATTGATCATAATCCAATTACAGATTCAATTTTACCTGTTTTATCAGGACAATTAACTAAAAAGAGATCAATGGGTAAATTAGATAATTTATCATTAAGAGCATTATCACATTTAATTGATTTAGGTAATGGACATTATTTTAATGAAATTGTTGAATTAATTTTTAGTATTTATCAAAATCCATTTCATTCAAGTGAAACTGTTATTGGTGGTTTATTAATTGATTCTATTTATATTATGAATAAGAAATTAAAAAATAGAATTGATTTAAAACATTTATTATTAATTAAATTAATTAAATTAATTAATAAATTAGGTGGTGAAATTCAAATTATGAAAGAATCAAATGAAAAGAAAAAAGATATGTTAAAACATATTGCTGTTTTATTACCTGCTGTTGCTACTTTAATTAAATCTATTAATAATAATAATAATAATAATAATAATAATAATATAAATAATTTAAATTTAAATAATAATAATAATTTAAATAATAATTTAAATTTATTTAGAATGATGTGGTTTTATATAATTATATTTAAATTTAATAATCCAAATGAATTTAATGATGAAACATTTGAATCATGTCAAATTATTGGAATGAATGGTCCAATTTTATTAAATTCTAATATTCATACGTTTATGGAAATTAATAAGGAAATTGAAGTAATTTTAGATTCTAAAAATATATTACAAGAAGAAAAGACATATTTTACACAACAATTAGAATCTTATATTAATCATGGTAAAGATATACTTGTTAATCCTTCCATTTTAAGACAATTAACAATTGAAGAAGTAATATTTTTAATTTCAATGTATAATTTAGAATTATTTAGAGCACGTTCAGGTCAACCATTAAAACATTTATTAAATTATTTAGAACATTATAATATATTTACAAATATAGTAAATACAACATTACAATCATTATTAAGAAGAATATTTGAACAATGGTTATTAATTTATATTAAATCTCAACCTCAACAATCTCAATTACAATCACAATTACAATATCAACAATCACAATATCAACAATCAAGAGATGAAATGAATCATATATTAGCACAAGAAACTATTTATTTATTTAAAATGTGTATTCATAGATTAGATATTGTTAGACAAATGGCACATCAATTCATTATTATGATTATTAAATCATTTCCATCCATGTATTGGAGTT